GCTATCCACTCCAGTATTCTGACTTCTCTGGTGTCGCAGACAGTAAAGAATCCGGCTCCAATACGGGAGACCTGGGTTCTATCCCTGGGTTGAGAAGATCCCCTGAAAGAAGGCATGGCAACCCACCCCAGTATTCTTGCCTGGAGAATCCCCATGGACAGAGGAGCCTGCAAGACTGCAGTCCATGGGGTTGCAAAGAGTCGGACACGACTGAGCGACTAAGCACAATATAGCGCAGATATTCAATAGCTATTTGTTGAAAGAATTAAAATAATACATAGTTGTATAGTGATTATATATTTAAGGCAAAGAGAAATTAAAAACTTAAGGTACAAATCATTGTCTTTAGTCTCAAACTTGTTTTTATCAACTAAATATGAATTCTTAGAGTCTAACTTTCAGAGTGGTTTGAATTACAAGCCAAGACTTTCTTATCAACTGTCTGCAGTTGTTACTCTAATCCAGCTCAAGACTTCTGACAGTTCCCAAGATAAGCAGAGTCAGAGTGTTCTGTTGCCTTTCTAGCAACTGTCATCAGCTTTCTCAATAATAAGAGCCTCTGCTTCCTCTCTTTCCCAATAGAGCAGAAACCAGCAGAGAATGAAGAGCTATGTTGTTTAATGCCATTCAGGAGTTCAGAAAAGCACAACTCAGATCTTTGGGGACTCGCATTGTCTCCCTATATTAAAAATCTGTGTGTCTTTACCTAGTACTGAAGTTGTTTTATAATCATAACCTGATCTACCATTACAGCTTTATTTACCACACATAACCCTCCATCTTAGATAAATTAATCTGCTATCTAGAGTTTTCTCATCTCTGTGCTTTCCTTTTTATTAACTTTTTTTATTGTGGTAAAATATGCATAGCAAAAAGTTAACAGTTTTAAAACCATTTTTAGTCATACAGACCAGTGGCATAGATGTATTTGCACTGTTATGCAGCTGTTACCACTGTGGTATATTTATCATATGGTATTTCAACAGGAATTATGCCAGCCTGGGAATCTCCAATACTTTATCACCCAAACTGAATGGTTTAATTGGACTTGATACCAACTTAACTTCAATTGTATACAAAATCCTGCTTCTGTAAAATCTAATTCATGTTGTTGTTTTCTATTAATTCCAAATAAAGGCATCTTAGATAAAGTTTGTAACTACCTTGGCTTTGATCAGGGACCCTATCTTGAGGTAATTCCTGTGATTATGAGGTGGGAAGCTATGACTGGTTGAGCTTTGGTTGGAAACCAATCATTGGCTAATTATTATTCAGAGAGGTTAAAAAGATGAAAAAGATGGTATGTTCTATTGGAACTATACGGGTAGAAAGATAATAGGGAGAGAGGAGCAGTCTCCTAAGATCGCTGAGTCCTCGAAGAAGGGCGGGTCAGCTAGAACAAGGAGCTGTTACGTCAGTGGTTTAACAAGGATGACTATGATGGAGCCAGTATTTGAATTTTGGACTATTTTACTCCAAGTCTTATGCTTTGAAAACCATATAATGAATTTCTAAATGTAGACAGTAGTTATTTTGAATATTTAGACAATATCAGTGTTTTATAAACTTTCTGATATCCCAGATTCTGTTTAACAAATTTAAAAATTACTCTACCTATATTATTTAAAATTCTAAGTAATATTATAGGTAAAACCAAATCAGCATAGGCTCAGTGCCTACATTTTTCTTAATTACATGCTATCTTGTGCATTTCACTGTACAAATCTTAAGACGGTAGAGATATTAGCATCTGCAGAGTGAAAAATAATACTGAAGCTCTGAATAGTTGTATGACCTAATCAGAGTCAGAAGAACCATTTCGTGGCAGAGCCAGATTAGAATCCAAGCCTCCAGTCCTTGGACGGATGTTTGACTACTTGATCATAAGTTTATGCAGTTATAAACTTCAGATTCTGAAAGCTTAGCTTGTATTTTGCTTTTCTTTCTGGTTCAGATTCCAGGTTCCATCAACCTTTGAAACACTAGGAAGCTCTTTTTCTGGCCTTTCTTTACAGCTTTGATATTTGTGGATTCTTCAAGATGTGCTATAATCTTGGGAGTAAATAGGGCCAGAGAGATAGTCTAAAATGGAGGGTGTGTAGGATCGTTTCCCTTTTTCAGAAGTTGCTAAGGGGAAGGCAGTAGCTTTTCCTGACGTCTAAGATAAGCAACAAAATACTCACACACCTGTCTTTGAGATATGTATGTCTTATCCACATGTATTGATGGACTCCTTAGGAAACTGCATCTAAACATATTTTTATTGTGGCACAGAGTCTTAAAAATAATTAAAATTTTAAATTACTAGTGTTAAACAGAATGCTTGGATGTTCTTGTATTGACTATGTGTTCATCACCTTTAGAAAAATACACCTGTTGTTTGAGAGTGAGGAGAATGTAAGGAATATGCCCTGCCATTGTTAGTGTACCTAAAGTGTGTTTACATATTTTTAGTTGCCTGAAATGAGAAAGATAGTTACAGAGGTTAAATGCCTGTGGAATACCACAGAATAACAATTTGGTATCTCTGAAATTATCATCTAAATTAATGAGAAAATTATTTGATTTTCAGTCTGATTTTAGGAAAGATTTTCATTCATTAATTTTTTAAAAATTTATTTAGTTTTAATTGAAGGATAATTACTTTACAATATTGTGTTGGTTTCTACCAAACATCAACATGAATCAGTCATAGGTTTGGTATAGAAAGTACTGTAACTGGTCATTTTATTCTTTTTAAAGTTTTCTGTTCAGTAATTATACTACTTGATTTTGATAATAAAAGGAGTTATATTATGAGACCAGAATTTGACTAGGTAAATATGGACTGAAAGTTAAATTTAATTGATCTCAGAATAAAGAGAAATTAATCCCTAAAGATTCCTATATTTTTGTTTAGTTGGGAATGGTCTTCAGGGTGTTTGGTATCACCACCACTCCCCACCCCTCCCACACCCAAAATCATGAATTTGCACTTTATGTTCTTCTTCCATTTTACCCAAACATCAACGTTGTTTGCTGGTTAGAGCTGAGAGTACTTTGTAATCTGTTTTCCTTTTTCACTGAGTGACCTTCCTTCTTTTGCTCTCCCATTCTTATGTCTTAGCTGTGTTAAAGCAGTTCACTGCTTTCTTGCACCCTGTTTTCTTTCATGCACACTTGATCTGAGCAGACATGGCCAGTATCAGCAATTAACAGCAGAGCAAGAAAAGATTGAATACAGACATGCATATTAGTGTGTGCATGTTTGGTCTGTGATACTATGTTGCATTTTCTGTTTTTGTTATTATCTACTGTCAGAAACAAGGAACTGAGTTGGTACTGACCTTGTGTGGAATGCCTCTGAGGATTTGGGATGAAGGGAGGAAGCTGGTGTTTCATGTGACTGATTTTTGACATGCTGCAGCAGGACTGGAAACACTCCTCTGCTCACATAAGGTGGAAAGAAAAAATTTCTAAGATTGAACTTGCAGAATTTGTGGAGTATATTTAAATTTTTCTTCCTGTATTTTTTTTTGTTTTTAAATTTTACCTAATTTTTTAAGGACTGAAAGTAAGGGATGACCTTTGCTTAATAAGTAGTTTGAGGTATGGGAGTAATGGGCTGCCACAGTGATTCGTATGATAAGAGAATGTTTAAAAACCTCCACTACATCTTGAATCATATTTTGACCCATCTGACAAACAGTTAGTGAGCTCCTTGGTCATCTTTGGTATTTAAAAGCAGCATTACACAAATAGCTTTATTATTGTACTTTTTCCCCCTCATACAAATCTTAAGAGCATTGCACCTATGTATCCAAAACAGTTGATTTTTATCTACACTGGTGAGAAATTTAAAAGTGGCATGTAGGTCCCTTAAGTATCTCCTGTGATAAAATTTTCTCACTTTATTTTATGCTTCAGCTTAATGGAGCCTGAGCCTCTGTTTGGGTTATGTCTTAAGCTGAAACTGAAATACAGTCATGAAGCTCTAAGAAAAAACTCTGCAGTGCTAATTTGAAGGACTTCTTGAATGGCATCCTCCCTTCTTGTTGGTCTTCATTACCTTCGCCTCACCCCAAAAGTGTATTCTTGCAGAATTCTGTGGCTTTTTCTTCTCATTTTGTGGAAAAAAAAAGTGAAGGGAGCAGTGGGGAGGGGAGAGATTTCAGTACAACCAGGCATTTAAATTTTTTGCTTTAAAAAAAAAAAACCTCTGTTTTGTAATTCCAAATCTAAGATTGCTTAAGAGTCCCTTATTAGGAATCCAGTTTTGATGGAAGCATATAAGAATTTAGAAAATGATATTTCAATGTAAATGTGGATCCTAACATGTATGACCTGAAGAGTAGAAAGAGATAAATGCTAATGTGATTCTTTTTTTCACTCAGTGCACATTATCTTATATATTTGATCAATTGATATTGAAAGGTGGTTCTAAAATAGCTTTTGAGCAGATGCAGTATTGAATAGATCAGATGACCTGTGTATTGGTAGTCTTTTCTATTTTCTCTGTTGTATCATTCTAAAATTGGTGCACACAAGGGATTTAAGAGGTAATTAGCACTTAAGTAATGTCCTTTTCCTTAATATTGTTGACTGTTTCTCTTAGCCATTTTCATTTTATTTAACAGTGGTATTTAAGGGTTAAGCTTACAGAGCTGATGCAACCCCTCCTTGTTTTTCACCAGTAATTTTCATTGGACAGCATTTCCATAGCAACAGTGAGATCAGTGAAACCTTAATGTTTCATTGATTATTTTTCTCCTCTTCCTTTTTTAATCTATTCTCTTTTCACCACATTTTAGTGAGAAAGCGATTTTTTTTTTTACTAATAGAGCTTATATTGATTTCTATTCCATAAATAATTAAAAGAGGGTAGAAAAAGCTGCCCTTCATTTAAAAATTGAATGTTTCACCATGTATTTAAAAAGCGATTCAGGATTAGGAGGATGGATAACCATACCGGCTGTAGCTGATGTTCTCAAATATTCTTGCATTGTTTGCTGGTCTTCTAGGGAAAAGAATAATGTGGAACAGGACCTTAAGGAGAAAGAAGATGCTGTTAAACAGAGAACAAGCGAGGTTCAGGTATGTGAACTGTCAAATTCAGTATTCCATTTCTGATTTAGGAGGATTCATTTTAAATGTAGAGGGGCATTTACAATGTGATGGTTGTGGTATTGGTGAGTAGGTAAAGGGAATCCCTGTTATTTATGTGATATGAATCCATATCTTTGACAAAATTATTATTTTTCTCCTCACTCTGGCCTGCAAAGATTACACTACAATGATAAAGCAGTATTTTTCAGCATAAATTTCTCATTTTAAAAGTATTTTTAAGATGATATTTATCTGCATATTATAACCTTAAAGGTAAGTTTGAATGACTTGTCATATAAATATTATTGCACCAATAAAACTGAATGAATGAGCATCATCATCATCATGAAAACGCACATTGGTTTTTCATGGGTGTGAGATTTTTTTAGCTAGGAGACCTAAGATTTTAAAGGACTGTCTCAATACCAGTAGGGTAGGAAATGATAGGGAACAATTCAAAATAGCATTTTAGAAGTTGCTTAGTAGCCAGGATATCTTAAACTTTGGCATAAAGAGATTTAATTCATTTTTACTAAGTGCTGTGTTAAGTAGTTTCATTTTACAAATAGAAAAGACAAAAAGACCTCCATTTCTGATTGGGAATGACACAAAAGAGGTATTTCAAACGTTAAAATATAGAAAATTGGGCAGTGTTGCATTTAGAGCCATAAGCAATAACCATGTTATTGGGACATCATTTCTTAAATGCTGCACCAGCACACACAGGATGTTGGATGTAGAAGCACTGGTAGTAGTTGCCAGTAAGAGCTCATGCATGGACATTGCTTAACCTTAGCAGTCATATATTGGATTTCCTTGTCTTAATAGTTTTAAATGGGCAAAAGCTCTAAAACTGTTAGATCCAGTATCTTTCCTTGTCTTAATAGTTTTAAATGGGCAAAAGCTCTAAAACTGTTAGATCCAGTATCTTGTTTTGATGTAGCACATTCACCAGAGATGGTATGATAGGTGGACCATGCTAGGGTGGGGAGAATGATTTATTGAGGGTTTGAAGAAGAAGCCAGAGAGAGAGACTTCTTGTTAGAAGTTGATTCTATTACTGTACTTATTATATATACTGGAATTTTCCTAAAGGTGATACAGAGTTAACGGATTGTCACTAATATATTTCTCTTTGTGATAGTGAAATATGGAATGATATCCTCAATTACTTTATTTTTGTGAAATTTTTGAGCTTAAGAAATGCAGGAGTCATAGACTTTAAGCAGTTACTGCTGGAAATAGCTTAAGAATGGAAGATAAAATGATCTACAAAAGTTTTCTCAATCTGAAGAGGTAGAGGTAGTTACTGATATAATATTGGACAACTTCTAAATTTAGCCAGATATGTTTGAAAGTACCAAGGTTTTTTGCAGCACATCTATCTGTGGTTTTTCACTACTGCATCTTTTGAGATTGTGAATTTTAAATAGCTGCTTTGGGAGAACACTAAAATTTACACTTTTCTTTTCAAACTAAATCAGCTATCCTTAAATATTGGATTTGTTATATTTATAGAAGTTTTGTTGTCAGTCAACATCTCTTTGTTACAGGCTAGCCCTTCTTTTACCTAGTGTTGATGGTAAGGGACATGTTAAACCTTCAAGTTTGCTGAATCCAAAATGTGTACTTGGCTGAGGAAGTCTATAAATAGTTGATTTTTTTTTTTTTTTTTTTTTTGCATAAGGTGCTGTAAATAAAAGGTATTTTAGAGCATGGTGAGTATAGGCCAGGTTGTAATGGTTGAACATGTAGGTTCATTGAAAAAAAAACATAAAATTAAAGCTTTTTGCATTAGTAGATTCAGTACTCATTCCATGTCAGTACAGGTATTTTCATGTTGTTTATGGTAATAAGATACTAGACTAAGAATGACATGGATAGTTGACATCTACAAGTAATTAAAGCCTTCATTTTAGTGATTATTTTTTATTTTCTGAAGCAAGACCACTTACCTGAAAATGATAATAAATATATTGTGTTACCTATTGAGTTAACTCTGAATTAGCCATTGGTAATGAGGCACAGACTAGGAATAGCATGAATAATTAAGATCTGTAACTAACTTGAACTTTTAGCGCTTGTTTTCTAATTTCTCTGCCAAAAGGCATTTTACTACCGCTTCCCCTGCTTCCTTCTGACCCCACTTTCTAATGTAGGTGCTAATGAAAAATGCCGAAATGAAGGCATCAAGGGAGAAGTAAGAGAATTTTGACTCATCAATAAATGTCTTCCTGCCTCAATCAAATATGGCTTTTCTGCGTATTCTTGCTTTTCTCTGTATTTCTAAAGTTACAGTTTGTGATAATATGAGCTCATATCTCAAGTACAGAAACCAGACTTTCAAAGCCTCTTTAGATTTGATCAAAGTGCCAAAAGACTAGTTCTTTTTTTTTTTTTTTTTTAAGCATTTATATAGTCTTTCTAATTCAGGTAAATTAGAAGGTCTGCTACATAATTAATTTTCTACATGTTTGTTTCCTGTCTGTGTTCTGATATATCACCATCTTGAAAACTCACAGTTCACGATTTTTTTCTTGAAGAACAAACCAACAATTAACTTCATATTTTATGTCATGGGATGATCACTGTTAACTCATATGAGGTACACTGCTAGTTTGTCAAGTTCTGTGGAGAAATTAGATCCAAAATGATGCAAGGGGGGGAAACTGTAAAAGGCTGTTCTATCTCAAATGTTTATGGTTTGAGTTTCTTATTGTTACAGGAAAAAGGTAGACTCACATTCTTTCCTACCTTAAACTGCACATGCACAATTTTATTGAAAATTTTCTTCAAATATAACCTTATAGCTCCATTTGTAAAAACAAAAAAAAAAACTTTGTGAAAACCAGCCAACATCCTTGCAACAAATTTTTGCTGCCACGTGCACTAGAATTATCAAAAAATTGTAGTTTCATCTTTGTACATCTGCAGGGATGTGCTCTGAGATCAGACTCCCCTCCGTGATCCCCACCCCTTTAAAGAAATATGTATTTTTATCTAGAATGATCTTTAATTAGTGTCTGCATGTTTTCCAAAAGTGCTAGAGACATTATATGTACACCATTACGAAAGTATTATGAGGCCTTTATATTCTGTTGTTTACCATTGCATTAACTAACACAAAGTCTATGCATTTTTTATGCATTTGTCACTTCTTTCTAAGTCAGATTTTCTTGTGAGCTAACATTTCCTCAGTGGTTTCTTTCTTCTCTTCTCCCTCCCTCCCGTTCTTTTCTTTTCTTTTTTTCCTTTCTTTTTCACTTCTCTTTTTCTTTCTTTTTCAGAAACCACCTTATCTATTTTTAAATATTTCGAATTCCTAAAAAAAAAAAAAAAAAACTGTTAAGTGAGCTGCCATTTCGCCCTAAAACGACTCAGCTTTCACAGCCTGTTTTTATCTGTACTGTATGATTTTATTTTATCAGAACTTCATGTATTGGACAGTAATAACACAGAATCTTTAAAAAAAAACAACAACTGTCCTTCAAGGTAATCAACAAATATTTAAGAATTCATCCTCATGTATACTTTTTCAGTTTTGCATAGAAGTTTATAGGAATGACTTGGTATCAGAGAACCTTGAATTCAGTTCCTAATTCTGGCTCTTCTGAAGTTTGAGATCCTAAGGAAGAAATTTAACCACTCTACACATTAGTTTTCACTTCTGTAACATGAGATAGCAGAGTTTGCTGTTAGAATAAAATGACATATTTTTGGTAAAGTGCCTCAGATAAGTTGCTTCAGTGTGTCCGACTCTTTGCGACCCTGTGAGTTGTAGCCCGCCAGGCTCCTCTGTCCATGGGATTCCCCAGGCAAGAGTACTGGATGTTTGCCATTCCCTCCTCCAGGGGATCTTCCTGACCCAGGGGTCTAACTTATGTCTCTTGTGTCTCCTACATTGGCAGGTGTCTCCTACATTTACCACTAGCACCATCTGGGAAGCCCTATCTGCATACAGGGCTTATCAGATTTTTTTCCCCTGTTGCTGTCACTTTAACTGCCAGGCTGTTTTTCTCTATTTTTGTTGCTTTGTGTGACCCTTTCCCCCACCCTCCCTCTTCCTTTCTAGCTTTTCAGTAGTCTTGCTTAATTTCCTGTTCATCCATACCTTTGTGCTTAATTTATCTCCCCAGGACCAAGAATAATCTTAAGGCCAAATCCATGGGTTCTTCCTGCATTGGTTACTGATTTCTTGGGTGGCTTTCTCCTGAATATTCGTAGCCCTACTTCTTTGACCTTTTGCTTCTGTTGCCTTTGCCCGGGACTGATGGACACACTCTGACCCCCTCTTTCCTCCCTTTTCCCTACCCTCTGTCATCCACATGCCATATACTGATGATTCCCAAACATCTGTCAAGCCCTCAACTCTCTTGAGTGCAAGTCTTACATCTCCAGTTAGGCATTTTGAGGTTTATCATTTCAAATCCAGTATATCTAAAATGAGTCTCACCTTGCTGAAAAAAATTGACTTCAAGTTTTGAACTTTTCTGTCTGTTTTTCTTTCTCACTACTGCCACTCCTGTTACCTAACATCTGAAATTTTTAAGTCAGGTGTAATAAGTGCTTACTCCATCCTCCTCCTTGCTTTCTACCCAAACCAGTTTTAGTAATTATGACTCTCATATGTGAAAATCTTTACTGCTGCCCACTGCCACTGTTAGTAGTGGAGAATGTCATCCTCATGGGTATATTGGAAGTAGGAAAAAAAAAAAGATTATAGGCCATCCTCTTGTACTACTTATTTTTTGATTGCCTGCTTCTGAACTGTGTGGCATTCACTTGTTCTTTGTTATTCCCACTCATAACTTTTGTTGCTGCAATCTAGAATGTTCCCTATCTTCCTATTTATGTGAATTCCACCCATGTCTTAAAATCCAACTGAGACTCATCAGTTTTCTAAATTTTCCCTTCTTTGTCGCTTCAGTTTACTTGTTTTTCTTGTGTTGGAACTTCCAGAGGAATGTGTATACACTTGTATGGCACAC